ACTTGAAGTACTATACCTGGTAGCTGCACTATAGCTACCCTGGGTCTTTATACCTGGCAAGGTGCCATCTACACCTTTCCATTCAGATGATGCAAATGATGCAGATTGCATTTCTTGCGTCACCACCCCTCAAAAATCACCTCCAACACAACCTCACCCTCCTCCCCCAGCATGTGCCGAGTTTACGTGTACCTTTCCCGGGCCACCCCCCCAGACCCCCTAACTACTCACTTCGTTCGCCAAACACAACTCCGCTAGCGCCTTCTACGAAGGCTGGCTTTCGTAACTTTGGATCAACCACAGACCAAAAACACACCTGCAATATCCTGCAATTACATGTTTTGATCGTGAAAGTTGCCATCTACATTCGTGCACATTGTATCGCATTGTATTTTACTATATAGTTCATGTCCAAGCTATTCCTGGGAGGCTCAGGAGCGACCCCACTTTTAAAACTTCCAAACAGGCCGGAACAAACACCCTGTGGGCCGCTCTCCTACATGCGAAACGGGAACAAAATCAAACAAACAAACAAACAACGCGGCGTTGGTGCCGTTTCCGCGCTGCCCTCCTGGCTCCAGGATCATCGCTGCACACCATCTCCTTCCCCTCGGGTCGCGAGTGACCATGGTCATCGCTAGGGTCGCTTGCGGGCGAGCGACTGCACCCCACAACAAACACCCACGAAATGGCCGGGGCAAAACAGGTTGAATGGGTATGATATGCAAATCATGCTAAATGTGTTCGATCAGCTAAACCTTTTTGGCCTCCCTCCATTTCCGGTCCGTCATCTCCGCCCATATCCCTCATCTCGTCAATTGGAAGGGAAACCCAGAAGACCAAGTGGTGTTAAATTTCACGAGAAAATGCGTTTCACACGGCATAAGCGTGCAGTCACTATTTTGGCTTGCGCAAACCCCTAGAAGCGTGCAAATTTTACCGTTTGGGTAGCCAGGAAAAAAGCACAGCAGTAAACTTTTCTCGCATCTCGACTTGGGGTTTCTCCCCGTGTAGTTCCATCTTTGACCGAGCCCACCTCACTTTGGGACCCACATACGAGGAACCATGTTCCCTGCAGTTCGATTGCCCGGGTCCAAGCCCTGCAGTTCACAGCCGTCGCAGCGGCAACTCGCTCAAATCTTAAAACTTGAGCTTGGTTTGCCCCTTGCACTTGCCAGCGTCCAGCTTAGCCCTCTTGCCGGCACTGGGCTGGGCAGCGTCACTAGCTGAACTCGAAGGCAGCTCAACCAACTGATCAACCTGGCGGCCACGGGTGCCATCTCATTGTTTGCCTCAATTTAGTAAGTTGAAACTGTTTGTTTATTTCACTGCAGTCAGTCTGCAAAAGCCAGGGCCAACACTGGGCCAACAACAAGTTGTAATTCAGAAAATGGCGTCTCAAACACCTGATGAGTTAATTTCAAGACGCCGGCGCGAAGTGCTTCCGAGTGGAATCCATGGAAGCCTCCTTCTGCTCCTCCTCCATCTTTTCCATTTCGTGCTCAAGAAGCTGTTCCAAGGATTCCAAGGTCTTCGTCTCCGTTTGCTTTACCTCGCGTGTGAGGTGAGAATATCAATCCGGTCGGCAAAAAACAACACAACACACTGCCCACTGCCAACTCAACTCTATGTAGCTCACGCACAGAAATGGACAAACGCTAATTGCCACTGATTGGGCAAGAATGCACAGAAATGGACAGGTGCCAAGCCACGTTCGAAACAAAGTCCTTCCAGAAACCAGCGGCGAAGTGCTGCACCGGCTGCGGCAGCAGCAGGATGTTCTTCTTGGCCACCGCCGTCAATCGCCAACAGTCTTTGTTGTTTCAGTTGTTTCTTTCTTCCTGAATGCGGGCAGGAAGAACTCGGAAGAACGACGAGCAAGAAAGGAATCACAAGCGTCAGCGTTGCAAGCCACAAGCACAGAACCCCAAGAGCTCCCGCTACCTGGGGGATTCAAACAAAGCATACCAAACTAGGTGGATCAACCTAGACCTTCAAAATCCCAAAATATTTTGGTCCATGTGGTTTGTACTACTTTATTGCGACGATCAGTTGAAAAGTGGTCGAGCACATACGATTCAAACAAAGAGTGGTCGTGCATGGTCACACACTGCCCTCCCCGTGGCCTCTGGATGACTGATGGATGATGATGATGATGACGATGATGATTGGTCGGTTTCACGGGAGTTCAAAGGTATGATCTCTTATGCTTGCACAAAACTTGTGGCGAAATCAAGTGCAGCTGGGTTGGCCATCGCTTGAGCAGTCGATATACCCCTCTAAGAAAGAGCGGCTTTCACTAATCCCTGGTCGATCAGACATTGGCCTAGAGCTCCAAGAATTACGAGCAGGCTCGAGCGCAGCAAAACTACAAGATACGGTAATGACATACGAGTATGCAAAAGGAACCATAATTGCATGGTTGCTAACAAATGAACTCATGTCGACATCATGCTCGTAGGAAAACATGACTAGGCACTCATTTTCTCCCGAACAGCTTATGACCAAAGATTGTCCAGGTGGAGCAGGCAATCCTACTCATGACATTCAGCCCAAAAGAGTTGCAATTCAACGAACTTAGAGGTTTCTCAAAAACCATCAAAAAACCATTTGACCTACTTTCTGGGATTTGTGGGCGTTTGCAGGTTTTTGATGGCGTTTTGAGGGTTTTTGTGGGCGTTTTGCGGGTAAAACTGGTCGTGGGTTTTCATCAAATTCTGTCTCCGAAACCTCGGAATAACATTAAGTGCTTTCCACTCCATGTAGGTCTTCAGAGGTCACAACCTGGGCATGAACAGACAAATGTTTTTATAAATTTCTCCTTTGTCGTGGTGACATCAATTTATATATATCGAATCATCTCTGCCATTGGCCAAGGATGAACTTATTGCAACCCTGTAGCCGCTTTTTTGATTTATTTGTGCATATCCTGCGTCGCATCTTGCAATTCCACCGGAATTCGAAGTCGTTCATTATATAATGATAAAGGTAAATGAAGACACTTGGCAGCTGGGCATTAATCCAGTTATCGTCATCAAGAAGGCCGCAAAAATAAACTTGAAGGTCGGTCTTTGCCGGGTCGATGATGACTGGCGTCTTCCACTGCGTCCAATGGGATGGCTGATGGATGGATGGGTTGATAAATACGGAAGTCATCCCCTAAATATAGATGTGTGATAGCCGGTGATGGCTACTCGGATCAAAATCTGTGGAGCATACCCAAATCACACCGCTAAGCAAAAATCAGTCGTTTCTGACAACTACCATTTTTTCCATCGAAGCATCAGAAACTAATACAACAACCCAATCGTACTAGAATATTTTAGCCGTTGGAAGGTCTAGGAATCGATATACATCTCAAATCAAACTAATCAAGCAGAGTCTGAGTCACTCCTGGCAGGGCCTTTGACACTCGGGTGAGTTGCACCAGCAATGATCACGGTTAAGTCCACGTACGCCCAAAAGAAGCTGGAACATACCGCCTGGGCAATTGTCTTGACTGTCACGTGTCTGAACTGAGTATCACAAAAAAGCAACGCTGCTTAGCTGCTTGAACTTGAACACTAGCAATTTGCAATAGAAATTGGTTTCCGGTGATTTGGTTGATGGTTGGCTCAGTGGTATCAAAATAAATCCAACAACTCCAAATGCTAAAATCACAGTCGCACAAAGCAAGCTCGGCTGAAACAAGGGCAGCCCTCAAATTGAAATATATAATGGCCTCGTTGAAGTTCAAAAGCAATGTCTTGTTGACAATTCTCTTGGCAGCGGCAGTTTGGGACTTGCCAGTGTGAGCGTCAGCGCCCTGAGGAAGAAATGTCACGCAGAACAAGCCTCAAGCGCTAATGAGCGCGTTGGCACTGCGCTCACCGACTCATCGCAATCACAATCGCTCCAAGAAAAGAGGAGTGGTAGTGCTAGTAAGTACAGTACGAGTAATCGTAGTAGTGATCTCGCAGTCAGGAACCTGAACCTGAACCTGGGAACTGAACTTCCAGTTCGATTTGGGGCGATGCGCGTAATGCGCGTAGTGCTCGGCAAACGAAGCCCCCCCCCACCTGAGCCTCCTCATTTGGATTGCTTCCAGCGGCCATCTTGTCCAGAGACCAAAACCTTGCAGTGCGGCGCGAACAGTTAAAAATAGCCTACCTCGGACCCACCTGCTGGTCTTGGCGCTGGCGCTTGGCCGCGCCGTACCCCAGCACATGACTCCTAACATCGCCGAGGCACTTTTGCAAAGCACCTTGCCGCAGGTTGAGCTCACGACAGGTGATGACTGCCCCACCTTCCGAGGTTCAATGACCCTGGCGGCCAGGAGTTGAAGAGGTGCTTGAACTCTTCGGCGTCAGGCCCGCAGAAGACAAGCTCCCCATCATGTCCTTGATGCAGTTGTCTAAAGGGTGCTTGTGGCCGGGAATGAACACACCTCAGCCGCAACCGCCAACCAACGGCGCAGGCGCACGTCCAGCCTGGCGCAGACTGTCCAGAATCCACACTTTAAACAGCAACTAAGGGACGTGCGGCAAACTTCAAGGAACAAGAAATGAAAGGCCGAAGGCTGCAGGCTGCAGGCAGAAGCAGTGTTTGTTTGCGCCAACGTGAGGCATGAACTACGGGCTAGATTTGATCAGGTCATGGAGCCATGCTTGTATCACTTGTATCATGTATCTTGTAACTTTTGACCGGTGACGCGTGCGACCAATCCAAGTCCCAGACGCAGTATTTGAAGCAGAACTCATCCGACAGATCGTCAGCGGTCTCCCTTCTGACAACCTGATCAGGCAAAAGGCTGTAGCCGGCTTGCCGTTGGACTTGTCCACGCACTGCTGGATCATCTCGGAAATGCTCACAGGCGGGACCTCCACACAGCTTCTTGACCGTCCTTGTCCTGGTCCCCCTTGTCAACATCAAAAAGTTGAAGCAAAATCATGCACAAACGGCATATCCAGCAGCACCCAGCAGATCTGGTGATCTGGGTGCAAAAAATATAAATCAAAGGCCAATCCAAGTGTCATCGGAAAACAGGCTCTCTGTTCCAAAATCCGCGCAGCGCAGTAAGCTAGCACCGAATAGGAGTACCGATGCAATGCTTGGCAGCCCACATCCAGCTTGGTTGAAGTTGAAGCAAAAGTTGCTTCATATTTCCTTGGCACTCTGGCAACGCTGGCCGCCCTTGCGCCCTCAACAGTCTGCTGAATGTCCGGTGGTTATTGGTTGAACGCTCAATCAATGAGCATCACCATCAGCCAGCCATGTTCAACCACCAACAAACAACGAAATAAGTAACTAGCAAGCAACATAGACACACAGGGCATGGCCGCCAACACAGTCACTAAGAGTCACTGCGCCGCCAAATCCACATTGTACGCCCCAAGGGTGGCCACTGGCAGAACGCTAGTTTACACAAGTTCACCCAAGTTCGGCAAGCGGCCGCTAGCAACGACTTCCGACACTTCCTCTCCATCTTTGCGCGCGTCCAAAATACTGAAGACGTCAAAGATTCCTTCTTTGAAGGCAGTGCCAAGGGCCCCCGCCCCACCGCCCACCGCCATTCACATCTTTGGGAATGGACAATCATGGAATCATGTACGTTAATGTTTCATGAAGAACAGTCCAATCCAATGTCCCAAGTTCAACCAGATGTGTCGATACCACTTCTGAAATTGGCGGGCCCTCAACCCTCGCTAGCTTGAGCTGAGAATGAGGATTGAACGATTCTCAAGTTTCAATATAACATTGTTCGGCTGAAACGCCCAAATCAACAACAACGAAGTAGTCAAGCAGCGGTCACGCTCAACCATATCTTCCAAAGTCATTTGGAAGTCCACCCCGTTTTGAGGCGAAGCATCGCAACTCAACACCATGAACACGCTGGGCTTCTCGCGGAATTGTTTCTGTCCTGGGCAGTGCTCTCCTCCAACCTAGAAGCGGTGGCCTCTAACCTAATAGCGATGGCCTCCAACCTAATAGCGCTATGGTAATGGCGATGGCCTCCAACATAGCGCAGGACAGTGGCGGTGAGACAAAACCAGAGACAGGTGGCGGGGGGGGTATCTTGATTCCTAAGCACTTGATTTGCACAATGATGCCAATGCAGCCCAAGAACGAAGTCTCATGAGAAGAACATCTGCTTTCAGTCTGGCTCTGCTCAAAGTCGGTGTCGAAGGGATATCAATGGTTCCTTTTGCCATCCCAGCGCAGCAGAGTTCAGCAGCTTGCGGGCCCAGCAAGAAACCGATAGACTGCGTTACAGCCTTTGGAAGATGATCCGAAGCATTCTTCAGCATCCTCAACATTGTCCGGCCGGCCGGCGGAAGCGGAATTGTCACGAGCACGACGAGGAGCATCGTTAGACTTTCAAAATGCCTAAATCCCGTCTACTCCAGGACCACTATCAAGCATAGGATCTATATCGGGCCACTCAGAAGCCGCAAATTCCCTCGTGTAAAAAAACAACTCAACATGGTTTCCCATTGTTCTGACATGCCAGAAGCGTGCGAAATATTAGGGGGCAGTGGTCGCACGCTTATTTAAACATGTAGGCCCTGCCGCTTCGCTCGCAAAATTTAACACCAAGTGGCCAGCCGTGTCCTGTGTCCGACAGCATGTCCCAGCTATGCAGCGGATTGGAGGAGTCCCATGAGTACCAGTGCTTGGGAATGATCCAAAAATGAGACTTAGACTCGATCCGATGGCCCATCTGTCGAGGGCTGGAAGGCGTTGGTTGGCCCATCTGTCGATTGGGAGGCCGATTTGTGTTTTCAAAAATCACCTTTGTGGAGTCCCTTGAGTGACCCAAAATGAGGCGAATGGCCAACCTCAAGCTGGGATCTCAAAGAGTCACTTTTAAGAACAATGCATATCATGGCATATTAAATAGTTCTTGATGATTCTTCAGTCTGACACTTTCTGTGACAGCTTCGAGACTTGTCCGTATTGATCAATAAAGATCAACAATTAAGTACCGTCCAATGGAGCTTAGGCTGTTGGATCTACGACCTCCCACTCCACTATACTCCACTACTCCACTCCTGGCAGCCAGGACCTGGCTCGACAGCGTGGCGGGTTGCGATGAGAAACGTCCGAAAACCCGAACCTCGGGATGCTCCCGGTCCGAGGCACAGGCACCCGTCGACCGGCAAACTCCAGGGTCTCGGCCTCAGCATGCGCATGACCGTCGGTGTGGAAGACAGGAGTAGAAGTCCAAGTGTTAGTCCTTCTATGGAACCAATTTCTAACATGTTTGCACATGTGTTCAGTCAAGTCTATAGTGTATAACGTCTGCAACCTGTACTACACCTATGAGGTTGGCCTCGACCATGGTGTTTGAAGAGGTGCAACTACCCTCAAAGGTCTCGTGTTTGTCAACAAAGTGCTTCTGAATATGGACATGTCCAAGCATTAAAAGCGCTTGTCAGGCATTGTTGTGGAGACTCTGGCTTTTACCCAAACGACTAAACACCATGATGAACCCAGTCAAACGACTAAACACCATGATGAACCCACTCATTCGTTGTGCAAAGCATCTTGCACATGAGAGACATATTACAGTATGGGACTGGCATCTTTATGCCTCACCAAACCAGCAACACCATTCCTGGCACCACCCCTGGCCTTTCTTCAGCTATGGCGTTTTTCCTATGGAGTGAGTGCCTGAGACACTTTGGATTCTGCCGATGACTCGATGACTCGATGACAGTCGACCGGGCACTCCGGCTGTGAAGGGGTGCTGACTTCTGGGTCCTGGCATGGCGAGATGGCGGGCGTCCGAGACCTGCGAGACTGCGATACGGTATTCTAGTAACTATAGCCACGAGACTTTGGGAATTCCTGGTTTGAGTGTTTGGAGTCTCAATCTTTCAATATTCAATAGAATTGTAGACAGGTCTTGGGAGTCTTTCTGCGAAAACAAAGGAACCCTGTGAACTTCGCATTGGCGGGGCAAGCATGACCATCATGATTGGATGGTCATGCCAATTCAAGAGCCGTCCGGTTCCCAGGCGTTCCGGTTCCCAAGCAACATACACACCCACACGTTTCAGTCGTGCGAGTCGTGCTGAAAGGCCTGTGATTTGCAAAGCGCCATTCTTTCCATATCCGGGCAACTCCCTCCACAAGCCTGCGCAGCTTGCTGCAGTGGATGGTTTCATCAGGTGTCATATTAATTACATATATATGTATATCATTGTATATCTCTTGCTCAAGCACATAATGCCATCTTTACCCAGAATTTTGAAAACAAGCAGACTTATACGTTGTAGGCCGTTGTAAGTACTAGTACATGTAGGTGCGACATTCTGCGAGCATGTTCAAGAAAAGCATCTTTTCGGCCTGCTTCAGTATCTCCAGCTTTTGATATCATCTCTACATAATCTGTGAGATCCATTGTGTTCAGGTTGGATTCCCAAAATCTCAACAAGTAGAGCGGGACAGAACAGCAGTAAGTCAAACAGCAGGCAAAACAGGAGTACTGGGTGGATGTTTCATTACCAAAGCACACCAGATCATGCACTTGATTTGCAAATCCTGATACCACTGTTTCAACCAGTTCCTCCACATGGCACCATGACCCAACTGAATCTCAGGTGATGCACTTGCTCTTCACCCACAGCAGTTTGGAAGTGCAGGGCTTCCATCAACACTTTCTTGGGTTTATCTGCATATCATCAAATTGTATACAAGCACTGCATGATAAATATGCCAACGGCTTCTTCCACTGGCCCGCCAAAAGGTGTATAAGCCATATCGGGACTTGCCCCAAAGACAAGGCAAAAGGTCATCTGTGCACCTCGTGATTGCCGCATGGCTCTGTGGGTGTCCTGACAGCAGTCGAGAAATCACAGGTACATCTATGGGGATAGTGCAGCAGCAAGCTAAGGCTTGAGATAAGAATAGATGACACGAGCACCGGGTCAACAAAGAAACCTACAGATCTGAACATGATCTCACCAAGCCCTCCCCGATCTTTTGACCTCGCTGGATGATCCGTTTCCAAGGGCAACATGTATGAGGTCGGACAACCCATCAAAACTCTATGGACATGTCTTCAATCCAAGACTTCACAAAGCCTGCTTGTCTGTCTATGTCCTCTGCTAAGGCTTTAACCTGTGGTGTAATAATATAACCAATCCCTTCGGAACCAAAAGGACTAAGGCTAAGGCAGGCTAAGGGTCTTCCTTTCGTATGCCTTTTCTTAAACAGTCCTGACGGCCCAAGGTACTACTTGTGCTGCAGCTGCAAAGGGACCTGCGTCTTCTGCAAGGCGATGCGGTTGTGAAGCTCAGGGCCTACTCAGGGCCTACGGGCACCTAGACTCTTTTTAATGGGTTGTGAAAGATTAGTGGAAGATCACATTTTCCCCTCGAAGCTTGGTTTCCTGCGGACGAAGACCCTGCAAGGCCGGCTTCGGCTGGAAACCCTGTCGGTTTGCGGAGCATCTTCTGAGCTTTTTGGAGGGCAACATGTTCGTCGAAGCTATGCGAGAGGTGGTCCTTCACAAGCCAACATGACACGACCCAGGGTTTTCTACAGGTTGTGACATCGGATGCACAGGTTGTGCCTGGAGTCACTGCTGATGTAAACGGATGTAAAGGGCGAAGAAGGACCTGGTTGCTGATTAGTACTCTTCACACATACTAGGGTTTGGTGTCTAGTCCCACATGTCCGTGTCCACGAGGCCAGGTCTTTTCAAGTGTCAATCAAACGATTGAGTTTTGGTGGTGGTGGTGGTGGTGGTGGTGGTGGTGGCAGATATGGGTTGGAGGCATCGACCAAAATGTCTTCCAGCTTGAATGAGCCAAGACCTTCGAATCCGCGGGATGATGTTGGCCTCCAGAACAGGACCATGTCAGGCGCGATCCCATCTCTGGGCGCACCCACAGACCGCAGACCGAAGCGACCGAAGTGATGAGCACAGAACTGGGAAGCCGCAGCCAGAGTGAGGGTGGCGTCCCTGTAAGTTCCAAGTATGTGGAGGTATAACACCTGGCAAGGATGTCTAATTTAATCTATGCTAAGTTGCTAAGTCTGTATTGCTACCACCTTCTTGACCTCTGACATGCATCTCTGCCGCAATCAAGGCGGCCCCGTTCTGCACACGCCCCTGTCCTTCTTCACGCCCAATCCAGCCTGGAGGTCCCACTTCGCTTGGCCAGCTGGTCATTTCCTCGTCCCGCAAAAAAACAAAGCCAAAAGCGCTGATGCCCCTTGGGTAGACTGAACGAACCATACCAAGCTTGATTCTTGTGCGTTTGAAGCTTTTTTCACTGAGCGCCGGGAGTCACTCTGTCGTCACCCTGTCAACGAAGTCGTCTATTCAATTTCTCTGTTGGCGTTCACCCCTCAGGCTGTTTTGACCGCCATTATGGTATTCAAACCCCACAGCCACACAGTGTTTTCAGATATTTTTAGCATCTCCTTAGAGATCTAAGACCCAGGGGGATTCAATTTAAACCGCGGCAGCTGAAGATATTCCAGTACATGTTGTGCCATCATACCATTGCAGGTCTTTTTGAGGGGGGTCGCTAGGTATATAATCTTTTTGAGGGGGGTCGCTAGGTATATATTATACGTATTTATATTATATATACATGTAAAATCATGTAAATATCAATAGGAGGGTTACACATTTACACACGCCAGAACCATCATGGAAGTGGACGTGACATGGCCGCTTTTTGGGTGATGGAGCTCTGTGAATCTCCCCCCAAAGGGGGGTATTAGTCAGTCCCTTCTTCCAGCTCAACTCCCTACCCTCATCGCTCATGCAAATTTGCGACGACCTGCTTCCCCAGCCGCGTTCGGATCGACCTGTTGGTTGTCGCGTTGGTTGTCGATTCCGAGACCCCTCAGGCAGAATCTACGTGTCTGTCTTCTGCCGATTCGATACGAAGAGTCGATTTTTGAGCAACCCATTTTTGCACCCATTACGGTGACAAACAACTTGTATTTTTAGAGGGTTTCATGTAACAAGGGTCAAGTAGAAGCTAGAATGTACACATACCTAATATAAGTTCGGAAAGTCCAACAAAACACATTAAACATAGAAGAACTGCACTATATATCCCGATAAGTGTTCAACATACAAAATAATCTCAGATTCCCTTCATGTCCCTGCCCTTCCCAGTGATTCCTTCTTTTCCAAAACCTCCAGGCCTCGCGCATGGGCCCCGCTCAGGGCGCCCGGACCAGGCATCGGGCTCCGTGGCCGAGGGGAAACGGACCTGCGAACCGAAACCCAGCGCACGACCCATGGGACTGGACAAGATGTCTGCATTGCCCATTGGCCCCTCGAAATGCAGACAGATCTCATCGGCTTTTTTACGGATTTGTTGCTTCCCTAGCACGACCCATTCCATCTGGACGACAGGCAGAAAAACCAAACCACCCCAATGTACAAAGGCCCAAAATGGCAGTCCCATTGTGTCCATTGTGTCTGGAAGTTGACCCTTGGACGTCGCAAATTTGGGGAAGCATTGATGTCATGCACACCATTCTGGTCGTGAGGCGCCGATTCGGTTTGGAACTCGCGACCTTCGGGAGGTAAATGGGTCGAAAGCCGTGCATTTGTTTCAACCTCTTCTCCATCTACTCGAGGTAGGGTAGAATGCGTACGTGTTATGGGTACGGTATGGTATTGAGGTTGTCATGGTGTGTCTGTGTGCTCTTGATGTTGGACATAAACGATTTGGACGTTCCAGTGTTTCCATTATCATCCTTCACTTCAGAATCCATGTTGATTTGCAGTAGATTCTATTCGAGAAGTTGTCCATATCGTTCGATTCCAGAATCTACAAAGTGTAAACAAAAGACTAAAGATAACCCAAGAATAACACTGAACTGAAATGCACTATCCATTATGTGGGGGCCCCATCTTGTTTATACTTAAGTAGGAGGTCAACTCACAGCATCTCCTTCAAACTACTTGAGTAGCAAATCACAGTATCTCGTTCGGACTACTCAGACGTGTCATCAAACAAATAACTCGTTTATGTGGGGGCCCATCTCGTTCACCAGCGAATAATTACTGATGTTGGACAAACAACTAGAGCTTGCCGTAGACTACTTTAGTAAAGAATGAATAAAAATAAGTGGTTGCACATGGTTGCACATATAGTGAACAGTCCATCTCATATTGCATCGTAGGTCTGAACGCGAAAGTGAAATGCAGCAGCATTACAGAAAGCTCAAATGGAACTAAAGGCACCCTCAATTCAAGAATGCTCAGGAACATGTTCCAGGGACGGACACAATTTGAAAACATGTCAAAAGCCTTCCACTCCATCTCAAAGAGGATCCCTTTTTGTTGACGGTCCAACACAGCATGGGTGAGCCACCCATGCTCGCGTTCGAAGACGGTCCGAACGCCTCGAACCCGTTTTCGTAAGAAAACCCGCCGCGCCTCTCGATGGGGTAACCACTGTGCCAGGGGATGTTGGACCTCAGGGATGAAGATCGAATCATGTAGACTAATAAACCCCTCATTCAAATCGCAACATCCTCTTCATATGTGGGTTTTTCAATCAAGAGTCTACATTACGTCCCTCAAAAGTCCAATCGCTGAGAGGGCTCTCAAGTTAATTATCACGTTAAATAGCTTTTTTGTCTAAAAGCCCACTCGGAGTCATGTATGGAGAAGGCACACACTCTAAACTTCAACATTGACTTCAATGTAAAATATCTTTCCATAGAGAGCAAATATCAATGAACCCACATCAGCATAGTTGTTAAGCATCCCAAACATAAATGAGTCACCTGGGAAACCATTCCCAGTTCACAAATGTGTTGGGATTCGCTGAGCCTCAAACTCTAAGATATGTTTTTCATAGGTCTTCCGGCACACGTGGTTGTGGATTGCGCCAGCCTGAGCCAGCGTCAGCCACACTCAGCCACTGGTCTGCTTGAGGTGGTGTGGTCTGTGTCTGGTCCATGGGAATGCTCACTCTGCCACTCCTGAAGCCGCTTAGATCAGCTGAGAGGCTCTGACGTCAAAAAGAAGTGTATCAATTGGGACAGGTGGCTCTCTGGCCTAGATTGCACCTGTTTTTTGGCCCGTGGCCCTGCCTCCTCAATTAAGTAGGCACCTACTTAACTAAGTAAGGGAGTAAACACGCTACTAGCAACTAAAGCTACTAGTAGGGACGCAGGATAGCTCATGTTAATGATGTGGTTCCTATATTTAAGGGAAACTTCGGCAACCTCACCTCTTCCCTCCTTCTCATGCATAGTTGGCCTAAACTGGTGTACGTCCCATCTATCCATGATCCAACGCCTAGGTTGATCCTCAGCTTGAACCTCCCAACGAAGCCCGGTCATGGGCGGTCATGGCATCATGGCCCCAGTGGACCAACCGGTGGTCTCCCATCCACCAGAGAGGTCGGGACCCACCGACCGCCAACCACCGACCGGTGGCCAGACCGTCTCAGCCGGAACCGGCCTTCCCGGGGATGGTCGTCCAGCTTGGCTCAGTGCCCACCATCGCGCCTTCGGTCCAGGGTGAGGGGAGGCCGTAGGACTTGAGAAGACGACGTTCCTTCAAGTGATTAGACTGTCTGATGAGAGAATTCCTGCGAGCTCCTGGTCAAATCCATCTCTGCTTGGATTGCACAAGTCAATTGGGGCAAGTCTGAGAGGCTCAACCAACCCTTTTCAAATCTGTTCAAACCAATCCCCAGAGAGTCCGCGCTGAGTGCGAAAGTCCAGAGCCGGGAATCGCAGCTCAACGATATGATATCGTTACGGTGGGAGTGGGCACTCCCCCAGCAACCGCCCGAAGCAACCGCCCTCTCTTCTTAAGGATGCTACGGACTACGGTGCCCCTCTCTCTGCTTCCAATCCCCTATTGGCAATCGTGAGGAGCTGATCAGCCTTGGCGGAAATCTCTCATTATCTCTCCATACGTCAAAAACAAAACACCTTGGATCATCGAGTCAACCACCGAAAGGCCCTGAGCTTCAGGGACCATGCTTCACCAGCGGGAAGAGTTTGGTTGCATGCCTACACTGTGGTAGGCAGAAGGCACCCAAACGAAACTGTTTGGGCTAGAACCTCCCCTCAACATCCTGATGGATGAGCATACAAACCAGGTGTTCAGCACCACGTAAAGCAAGTCCTTCTGCCACACAATGGCTCACCAATCTACGTGCATCGTGTAAAGGCGCTCCTCTGCAACCAACTCGGCGTGCACCGCGGCCGGGAACTCGCCCATGCAGCGCGAGTTACAGCTGGTCACAAAAATGCGATGTGCCTTTCCTACAGAAGATGGAAGCTCATCAAGCTAATTAAGGTGCCCACCAAGCTTTGAATGAGAAGGGACCACATCCTGCAAGTGGTGGGAAGGTTGCAATCGCTTTGTTATCAAGCAACATGTGCTGACATGTCATAAGCTAGAAAAGAAACATCTGCTGAATGTAAGGTGATGTTGTCATGTTGACATTTTATTGAAACATATGCATGTTGTCATGCGACGGAACTCGCCACCATCGTCACCCAAGTTTGTTGTTGAGTTTTGAAGCTGCCTTCATGTGATGTTTTGCTTTTTCGCTTGTGTAAGGGGCCCCGCTGCGTGGTCTCCCCCATGGACATGTCGATCTGGTGGCGACACGCTGACACCGAGGTGGGGTCTCTGTCATCTTCGAGCCAGGCAAGCTTGCGTGCTGGTGTGTGAAGCTGTTGAGAGAGCTCAGCATATCTCCGGTGAGAGAACCGACTCATGACTCAGCTTAAGGATAAAAAGAACAGGACGACTTGAGAGCGGCTTTGCGGCTCGGCGTGTCGGGGTTGCCTCGGTTTTTCATGCCAAACCCATCCGCCTCGCCTCCCGAAATGTCCGCGTCGCCTTGGACCTGGCCGTCCGAATCGATGCATGTGTCCGGTTAACACAATGGTACAAGTACTTAAGTATACTGTGATGTTGCAAGGAGCAACAACCTAAAACACCATAGCGAACAGGATCCACATACATACTATAGCCGCATCAGCCTGCATCAACCACCAAACCCGACCATATATACCCACTGATCAAACGCGTGAGGCACAGTCTTCGCGACTTTACAGGATGAGTGTCAAGGCCGCACATCAGTGACAGCACTCCCCTTCTTCCAACTTAATACTGTTCTTCTGTCGGCATGATGTTCTGCTAACTATAGAACTCACATCTCTGCCCTTTGGAAGAATGTGCAAAACGACAGAAGGATCCCAACGAACCACCCGTGACACGTGGGCCCGACGAGTGCTCCTCCTATAGTCATTGCCAACAGCCAAGAGCTCAAGTCTGCCTCCCTCCCATGCCAGCGCCTCTGCCTCTGCCAGCGCCCCAGGGCCCGGATCTTCCTCTATCGGATCTGTCACTTGGGAGTCCTGGCAATGGTCAGTGGACTCGAAAACTAATTAATTGGATCGGGTTAAGCAGCTAAGCATATTGTGTACTCATATATATATATATACATACTAATATATACACATGCACCAATAGCCTTTGTGGACATGAGAAAATTGCGAAGAAAAACAAACAAATAACCGGAGATATGATAGAGGCAAATCTCAAACAGGTTCGTTGTTCAGTGACCATAGTCAATTGAGTCAAAGGATTCAGTTGGCTTTCCTTCTACACTTGACCATGAGAGGATCATGGCCAATCCATTACCCATCTCATCTAGCAAGAAACAACAACAAACAACAACAACAACAACCAACAACAACAACAACATCAACAATCAACAACAAACAACAAACAACAAACAACAAACAACAACAACAACAACGACAAACAACAACAACAACAACAAACAACAAACAACAACCAACAACAACAGCAACAACATCAACAATCAACAACAAACAACAAACAACAACCAAAAACAACAGCAACAACATCAACAATCAACAATCAACAATCAACAATCAACAACAAACAACAAACAACAAACAACAACAACAACAACAACAACAACAACGACGACAAACAACAACAACAAACAACAAACAACAACCAACAACCAACAACAACAGCAACAACATCAACAATAAAAACAAACAACAAACAACAAACAACAAACAACAACAACAACAACAACAACAACGACAACGACAAACAACAACAACAAACAACAAACAACAAACAACAACCAACAACAAAAGCAACAACATCAACAATCAACAACAAACAACAACCAACAACAACAGCAACAACATCAACAATCAACAACAAGCAACAAACAACAACAACAACAACAACATCAACAACAACAACAACAACAACGACAAACAACAAACAACAAACAACAACAAACAACAACAAACAACAACAAACAACAACAAACAACAACAAACAACAACACAACAACAAACAACAACACACAACAACAAACAACAACAAACAACAACAAACAACAACAAACAACAACAAACAACAAACAACAAACAAACAAACAAACAAACAAACAACCAACAACAAACAACAAACAACCAACAACCAACAACAGCAACAAACAACAATAAACAAACAACAAACAACAACAAACAACAACAAACAACAACAAACAACAACACAACAACAAACAACAACAAACAACAACACACAACAACAAACAACAACAAACAACAACAAACAACAACAAACAACAACAAACAACAACAAACAACAAACAACAAACAAACAAACAAACAAACAACAACAAACAACAAACAACCAACAACCAACAACAACAACAAACAACAATAAACAAACAACAAACAACAAACAACAACAAACAACAACACCAATCAACAACAAACAACAACAAAAACAACAACAACAAAAACAACAACACCACCAACAACAACAACAACAACAACAACACCAACACCAACACCAACACCAACACCAACACCAACACCAACA